TATAAAATAAAATTTATAAATAATTATTATTTGAACTTTATGCAAAAGGAAATTTGAAAAGAAGATGAAATAAAGTTGGCAAAAAATATAAGAATAATTCAAAATTCCTTTTTAGAAAAACCTGATAAGTATTTAAAAAATACTTTCTATTTAATATTTATATTAAAATTTAGTTATATTTAAATTTTAAATTTTTTAGTTTCTCAAATAAAAGTAGAAGACAAGTCAAGTTAGATTGATATAAGTTTTATTATTTTAATTTTCAAATATTTTAGTTTATTTTAAACTAAATTTTAATATTTACTTTACTAGAAAATTTAAATACTTCTCATTCTTCCAATTCTCCTTCTTCATGAAAAATCTATTTTACTATTATTACTATCTAATACTGAAACATCATTATAAACTGAAAATCCTCTACATAATTTTTTTTTTTTTTAAATCTAATTATCACTTCAATTTTTGACATTTATTATTACTTTTTCAACTATTATTATTCTTTTTAATTTCACATTCAATTTTTTTTCTAATTTTTTACTAAAAAAAAAAATTTTTTCAAACAAAGCTTGTTATTTTTATATGATATTTAGAATCAACAGTTATAGGCTAATCTATATTTGACCAAAAGCAAATAACTTTATAAATTTATTTATTCGTAATTTTATTTTTTTGTATTAATTAACTGATAAAATTCAAACATATGATTAACTAAAGTTATAACTGTAATTACAATTGTAGTTTTAAATTCAAACCAGAAACTAGTTTAACTTAATGATTAAAATTGGCAAATTTTGAATTAAACTGAACTGATAACATTACTACTTATCATCTAATATATCCTTATAATATTATACCTCACTTATAATATTTTACCATTTAAAATACTTAGTATCTAATGAAATACTTATGAATATCATTCAATTTTTAAATCAGAAAAATTATTAAGATACTCAAGGTATCTTATGTAGTACTAAGTGGTAACAAATTTGTTAGTTAACAATATTTATTAATTATTGAAAATCTTTTGAAATAAGTTCAGTTACAAATGGAAAAAGAAATAAAAATAGTATTTTATTTATAAATCATGATATTATGATTTATGAAAATGTTCTGAATAGAATTTTGAATCAGATCAGATTAACCTATTTATCAGACCTAATCTGACCTGAAAATTCAAGTCAGGTTAGTAGATTTTTAGATTAATTTTAGATCAATAAGTTGAACTGATTTGATAAAATTCAGGTTAATTAATTATTTTTGAATGATAATTTTATTATCCTTAAATGATGGTTTATTATTCTTGAATAATATTTTTATTATCTTTAAACAATAGTTTTATCATTTAATTAGAACTTCATTATCATTCTTGAATGATAGTTTTATCATCCTTAAATTATAGTTTTATCATTCAATTAGAATAATTCATTATTATTCTTGTATAATATTTTATTATTCAATTAAAATAATTTATTATTATTTAAGAATGATGCTTTATTATTCTTGAATGATAGTTTTATCATTCAAAAATGATGTTTTTATAATTCTTAAATGATATTTTATTATTTTTAAATAGTATTTTATTATTTAATTAGAATAATTCATTATCATTTTTGAACGATATTTTATCGTTCAATTAGAACAATTCATTATCATTTTTGAATGATAGTTTTATTATTTAAGAATAATATTTTATTGTTTAATTAAAATGATTTATTATTATTTTTAATAATAATTTTATCATTTAAAAATGATGTTTTTATTATTTAAAAATAATGTATTTATTATTTAAAAATGATGTATTTATTGTTTTTAAATAATGTTTTATTATTTTTTCTTGAATAATTTATTATCATTCAATTAGAAATAATGGAGTTGATTAAAAGAATTAATTAATTATTATATTATTATTTATATTAATATTTTTAATATTATTTAAAAAGTAAATATGAAAATTTTTCTTTTTGGATTAGGTTAGGTCAGGTTAATGAAAATTTAAATCAAGTCAGATTTTTGTTTGACCTGACACAATTCTCTTAGTTCAAGTAAATTAATTACTTGATCTGAATTAATCTATTTAGAGTTTTAGTCTTAAAAAAGAATAAAATAATATTAAGTAAAATAAAAAATTCTTAGTTGTTTAATGTTTTGGCCCTCTTTGGTTATCAAAAATATACTACAAAACAATTTATTGCATATAATACATAATATTACAAATTTTCATTTAATACTTTAAAATTTTATTTTTTATGAAATTTTCAATATTAAAAAGCTTAAATTTTATTGTAATGAAATTTTAATTAACAATTTTTACTTTTTTTATCAAAAATTTACATGTATTAAAATTTACATAATCAATTATCACGTGATGGGGTAGGATATGTATATTCCCTTATATCAAGAAATATTTTCTTTAAATAATATATAATTTAAATAATTTAAAATTATAAAGTATAAATATTTTATTATTTTTATAATTCATATTTTTATATATAATAAAAGTCATTAATTATTTTGCAAATTTTTTAATTTTTTATAAATACTTTTGCTAAATGAATATATTTAATATATTAATAAATTATTATTGATAAATTTAATATGTTGTTTCTGATTGAATTTTTATGTAAAAGTTAAACATTTTTTATTGATTAATATTATGTATTTATAATTAATCTTATCATAAGTAAATGAAAAATGGGCAATTGCCTTCCCAGGGAGCCGGACTCAAATTACTACTGTAATTTGAGCCATATTAATTAAACATTCTAAATACTAATTATCATTCTTTCTTTTTTTCGTTTGATATTCATTGGACATGTACGATTATGTCCACTTCATTACATAATCCACATTTGCGAGTTTTGTTAACATTATTAGAAGTTTCAAAGGTCCTTTGAATCTTGCAGTGTCTGGTGGTCTTCCTTTTGAACACTACTTTCACTATCATCTAGAATATTTTCGATAAAATCGTTAGGAAAATTTTCATTATCTAAATTATCACTTGAAAGTGATTTTGAATCGCTCATTTTAAGGATATTCAACAATAAGATTTATAAAAAAAAATAGGGAAAGAGAGAATAAAAATAAAAGTCTAATAAATGTTCGTGCACATGATCATATGGATTGCGCATCAAAAATTACGCATGGGATGTAAAATTCATATTTAATAATTTATTATGCGTTCATAAGAAAAAAATATGCATGGGTGCATTTTGTGCAGGGTGTGCAAAATAGAAATGCCTTTTTTAAAAGGGTAAATTAAATTTTATAATTCTTTGATGATTTAATTTTTTATATCTAGGGAATTACCATTATTTGTGGCCTGATTCATCGATATTGTGGTCAGCCCATTTTTTTTCACATATAATATAATATCCATCGGCCGATATTGAGATGTTAGGACCGAATGATTTAATTTCACGTATATTGATCGACGGAAAAATTTCCGAGGTCAAAAATAGTAAGTTATTCTTGTCATTGAAACAATGAATTCAATTGAAATAGAAATTGATTCTGATAATGAAAAGGCTAATTCCTCTTATAGAAAAAGGAGTCAAGAGGAAAAATCTATCACCAAAAACAAAAACGTCGGTTAAGGATTTGTACTTGAATATTTAATGCTATTGATTAATTTATTTCCAGTTTCAGCGCTTATTTTAAAGGTTAATAGAGCAAGGTAATTATCACGTGATAAACTTGATAGATTTAACGTTAAAGATAGAAAATGCAACCGGTTTTATTCGATTTGAAGATTAGATTGGTTCTTTCTCTATTCAGGTACGAAAAAACATAATGCCTCCAATTTTATTATTGCTTGATTTTAATATCCGGACTAAAAAAAAAATATTGCAAAAGTCAAACAGCATCGACTCAATTATTGAGTGGGCAGATGTCGGGACACTTTGCATAGAAAAATATAGTCTTTCACTTCGTTCCGGACTAATAAAAATTATTGCCTGGTTCAATTTTAATAAGAATTTAGAAGTTAAAGATAAATTTCAAGAATTCGCTAGAAAGAAAATGTGATGGCTACGGAAGATTTAAATCAGAAGACGAAGAATCATCAAAAGAATGAATAAAGTATTATTTCTCTAATGAAATAGTATTTTTTTTTTCTAAGAAAGGACTTGTATGCGACACAATTTACATATTTACCTTGTGTTTATTAGTATAAATTCTTAATTATAAGAATTTTAAACGAAAAAATTTTTATACCCAAAGGAAGTGATATTTTGCTACATTTAATAAATATCATTTTCGTCGGAAGAATTGACGCGCCCAAAATTTGTTCTGGTCATGTGATTGATGTGAAAATCAGAACCATATAAATTGGTCACTTGCGCGGTTTATATGATCCAATACGAAATAGGCATGATTTTAACACATGCCATCTTTTTTTTTTAAACATACATTGTAATTGAATTTTTCCTTTTCTAGATTTTGAATTGATATACACTGTTTCGTATCTGAACAATCATTAAAAAAAAATCTTTCATGCATTGTTTGTTGAACAAAAAAAAAAAAAAAAATTCACGAACAAAGGTTTTAAAAGAAAACCTTACTTCGTGTAAAACCTTTAATTATGAACACCACTTCCCTTGTTCGTTGAAATAGTCAAATATTCTACATAATTAATTTACGTGCGAGTCCGTCTACTAATCTAGCGAATGATACAAAAATTATCGATTTCCATTTTAAAATTAAATTCTATTTTTTTTTTTTTAAAAGAATGAATCTAATTTTATTCATATGTTTGCGCCAATTCATCACGCTATTTATTATAAAAACGACCTTCTCAGTGATAATTCCGACTTCTTCCTATTAAATCCATTATATTAGGGGACATCCGATCTTACTCCGATATTTTTGAATATAAATATCTTACCATTGAAAATTGTAATCTTGAAACTCTAAACATTTTCTATCTTCTTCACAATTATAATAAAATAAAAAAATAAAAAAAAATGCAACTGTCACGACAAACCCGTATAAAAATACTGCTTATGCTTGATGTTTCGTTTTTTATCGCAGAAATTATTATCGGATATTGGATTAAATCCTTAGCAATAATAGCTGATTCATTTCATATGTTAAATGATATTTTAAGTTTAGTAGTCGCATTGTACGCTTTGAAGGTATTAATTAATCAAATCGTTGGGGTGTATGATAATAATGATGATGAATCGTTTTATTTATAATGTTGTTTATATATATTTAGCTTGCTTCCAAAACAAACTTTTCCTCAAAATATTCATATGGTTGGCAACGGGCTGAAGTTTTAGGTGCTCTCATAAATGGAGTATTTTTAATGGCTTTATGTTTTAGTATTTTAATTGAAGCAATCGAAAGATTATTCGACGTACCAGGTTAGTTAATTTGGAAAAATGTTATCTTTCGAACTTATAATTGAAAACTTGATTTTATCATTTTAGAAATTAAAAGGCCAGAAATCATATTTGGAGTTGGATGCGCAGGATTATTTTCGAATATAATTGGATTATTATTATTTCATGGTAATTAAATCTTTTTAGCGCTTTGGTATCATGTGTGTTTATTTTCTCATTTCTTTAAATTTCTTCCTTGTAGAACATGGTCATAGTCATGGTCATAGTCACGGTCATAGTCACGGGCATAGTCACGATAAAAAATCATCGAAATCTTCTGATGCAAATACTACCATTGATGGTAATATTGCGCCTATTGATGAGATACTCGTACATCCAGTTGCTTCTCGCCAATCTATAGTCATAGCTGCGCAAGAAACGGCTTTAGAAACGGAATTATCTGATGAATGTTTATCATCAAATGACGACAACACAATTAAGTCACAAACTCCTTCAAAACCCGAAAACGCACAATATGGTGCATTAAGCAAGCAAAATCTTTCTGAATCACGAACTAGTACAAGCGATCAATCGCATGATCATCAGCATGATCAACGCGAAAAAGGTCACAGTCATGGAAATAAAAGTCTTAATATGCAAGGAGTCTTTCTTCATGTGTTGGGTGATGCTTTAGGTAATATTGGGGTTATTGGCACTGGTTTATTCATATATTTAACTAATTTCTCATGGAGATTTTACGCGGATCCTATTGTCAGGTAAAAAAACTTTTTAAATAATAATAATAATAATAATAATAATAATAAATAAAGTATCTAATGTTATATTCTCATTCAGTTTAATACTCACGGTTATTATTTTCTCATCCGCGGTGCCTTTGGGTAATTGATTTATATCATTTTTAAGTTTACATTTTTTTTTTTAAATTGAAGCATTAATTAAAAAAATACATTTATTTTTTTTTATAGTAAAAAGCGCGTCATTTATCCTTTTGCAAGGAGTTCCCGCGGGAATACCGATCGAAGATGTACGATCAGAAATTAAAAAGGTAGGGTTACAAGAAATTCTTATTTACAATGATTTTTTGTTCGTGACTCACCATATTTTTCTTTTTTTTTTTTTCAATACATGTTTTGAAAGTTAACTGGAGTTTTATCCGTTCATGAATTACATATATGGCAACTTTCGGATACAAAACGAATCGGTTCGGTTCACGTGTTATTAACACCATCAGCCGATTACATGGAGATAGCGGGTAATATAAGAAAATTACTTCATGCTCATGGAATTCATTCATCAACAATACAACCGGAATACGTAAAGGTTGGATTAAATGGAAATGATAGCGGTGAAACAATCATGGTGGTTGAAAATTCAGATAAAGTGCAATTGGTCGCGAATGAAGTAAGTATTTTGTAAAATCGCATTTCTTTATATTTCTAATATTTCTAATAAAAAATATTTTTTTTTTTTTTTTAAAAAAACAAATCAACTTATTTTGATGAAATTTATAGGGTGATCATGAAACAGCCTGCCTACTCCGCTGTAACTTGGATGATACTTGTGCCAAAAATTCATGCTGTCCACCAACCAAACAGCCATCAAAAGAAGCGAAATAAACTTAAAAACATGTGAAATTCTAAAATTGCAACTAATAATAATTAATAATCATAATAGCATCATAAGCATCATTTCTCACTTTGTAATTCGCTAATAATAATTGAACTTGGATATTTGTTAATGCTGGGCGTTGACAATTTATTAAGTTGTTATATAATAGATCATTATATATATATATATATATATATTTTATTCATTTAGAACAAATTTCATTTATTATTATAATCTCATTAACCTCATCAACAAAATATTTCTTCCTTCAAGAGAAAAACGTTGTAATAAAGCTTTGAATCATTCAAACAGTTCAAGAAGGAATACACGTTTTTTAATTTATGATCAATTCCTAGTTGACCAAGAGGTAACTTTTTATTTAATAAAAAAAAAACTTATCTGCGAAACGTGAGTTTGCTGCTAATGAAGAATAATAATAAACCAATCGAATTGCATAATCATTGTAATTCTGTATAAAATATTCGGATGACTAACCTGTTTAAGATTGAGTAATAAAAATATGCAGATATTAGTTTTATGTGAATTCAAAAAGAAAGTGTCATTTTCTTGGCCTTTAAAGATTACAAGCGTCAGAATATTATGCGCGACCAATGTTATATTTATTTAACACGAGATTTTTTTTGCATTTGATTGACTTTAAGATTCAGACTATACCGGCATTTTATCTTGGTTTTTTTATTGACTAGCATTATCGGGCATTTACAGATTAAAAATAAAATGATCGATCGATCAAATGCTCTAAGTGAAACGAATCATTTAAAGTCTTTATAAATTTGTGTCCTTTTGTGGGGAGGGGAATAGCAAGCTTACATTGTTTCAATATAAACTTTCATTAAATCGACTTGCGTTTTTTGATCATCGTTACGGCAAATCTCATAAGTTACGGGACACCTGGTAAAATTTTTGCCGGGTTTTCGGGTTGTCGGCAAATTGAAAAAAATAATAAACACGTGATATTAGCCAATCAATTTTT